TGCCAGAACGAGATTGTAAAATAGTCGTGCTGCGTAGTAGATCTCGATAAAAAATCCGACGTTTTCAATTCTTTTCGGTCACTTCCTGTATCACCGCAAATGACTACAACTTTTGATTTTTAAATGACACACTTTATATTTTTGCTTCATTTGATAGAAAATGACATTTTGAATAGAATGACATAGCATATGTCAACTTTTGAAATTTTTAATTAAAAAAAATAACATTTTAAATTTTAATTTGTGCCATGGCCATAACTGTAACGACAATTTGACTCGAAATACCAAGTGTGTGGTACCAAATTATTCGTAAAAAAATGCTTTTTCCAAATATGCTATAATTAGCCACCCTCGTTCCATTTTAAAAAATTGAGATACCTACATATATGATTAAAAATACGATTAGGGCATTTTTAAACCGGCCAGGAGAAGACATGAAATACATTAGACGATCAAATATATTTTTCCAAGACTCCTTGATTAAAAATTAGTGTTTTTAACACAGCCATGGCACTCTGGATTGAAATTTAAAATTCGATTTTGTTTTAAGCGAAAATGTCAAAAGTTGGCATATGATATATGTACGATTAGGCATATGTAAAATATATTTTTTTATTATTCAGAGTGTCTTTTTCTATTGAATAAAGTAAAAATAAAACACCGAGGGTACCATTTAAAAATCAAAAGTTGTAGTCATTTCCGGTGAAACAGGAAGTGACCGAAAACAATTGAATACGTCAATCAATCCTAATTTATGTCCTATACTAACATACCAAATTTCGTTTTTTTTTCTAAAAAAATAAAAAAGTTATAGGGATGAGCCACTTTTGAGAGGCAACTGGTAGAGACACAAAATGAATAGGTAAAGCTAAAAATTGATGAGAAGCGCTACTAATAGATTGATATTAGGGATTGGGCAGCGTAGGGTTTCGATCGACAAATTTATCCATGCAACCTATGAATTATGAAGTTTGTTGATATGCTCCTTCCTTAATCTATTTATTCAAAAAGTATGAATTAATCTGACACATTAACAAGTATTTCGCAAATATTTTTACCACAAATATATATTTCCTTTCAAAACCGTTAGTCTCAAGTGCCAGACTCTGACTCAAAGTTAATTTTAATAAGATCCGACTGCAGAATTATTACGTATTAATATTATCAGCATTTATACATATATTATCATCATATGTTTAATCAAAACTTAATTTTTACGTATATTTATGAATAGGAATAGGACAATACACTTTTATCAGGGTGTCTATCAAAAACTTGCCGCAACTATGTTTAATAAATGGACTGTATGATGAGTTATGATTCAAGAAAGGGGGACACAATGGATCTGTAAGGTCGAAGTGATTAACCCCCCTCCCACTCATGTTTAATAAATAATATTAATAACTGTGTGTGCATGATCACAAAGTTGCCGCAAATAGGGGTTGCCATGGTTCAGTTTTTCCTACAGGCCCACCAACAGTATTGTCGGACATCTGTAGCTCCTATAATAAAAAACTTTTTTATTGAGGAATTTTGTGTAACTGCCAACCTAAAGTATGTGTTGACGCAGGATGTATTTCAGGAAAATATTTTAACTTCTACAGGGTGGCTCAGAAAAGTGTGAGTGGATCGGAATTATTTTTTTAATGGAACACCCGGTATACTGTTCCTTTGTTAAAGGGATAATTGAAAAATGAATATTTTTCGAATTTAAAGTATTTCAAAATTTTCAACGGTTTCGCAAATATTCTTTTTTTTATTTCATATGGCTCTTTCTACTTTTGATAGGCACCCTGTTAAAAATCTATTCTCCTATTCATAAATATTCGTAAAAATTAGGTTTTGATTAAAAATACGATGAGCGTAATAATCCCGCAGACTGCACATATTATAGCACAGGATTCCTGTGCTATAATAGTTTTACAAAAAAGAACAAAGTTTTATTATTCTTCGGCGAGAAGATGTGTTCTTGTAGTGATATTAGTTTGAAGTACTCATCTATCATCAATTTATATTTTCTAATTATAAATTCTATGACGGATATTTTTCTTACATCATGAAATATTTATTTGAAATCAAACTTACCTTGAAAGTCTTCACTCTCATATAGTTTTATCTGTATAAAAATCCACTTCCAAACAGGTGGAACTGTTATTACTGTTTACATTAAAAACAATATTAAGGGGAACATTAAAAAAAACAAGTGGCATTTTGAATTGTATTTTATTTATTTGACTCTTAAACAGAATGGACACCGAAGACAAGTTTCATTAAATTATATCATACGCATTTAAAAAATCATACAAAAAAACTAAAACCTACACATCACAAGTCTTAGAAAATAGAAAAACTTAATAAAAATTAAATCGTTGACCAATCTGACTTCGCTTTACAGTGTTTCCATTTTGTTTCTTTCGAACTTTCAAGTTTTACCATTTTTTTCGGTTACTAAAACTAGAAAATTGCTAAAAATGGGCCTTTTTCACAGTCAATTTTTTTCTTAGTTTATAAATAATTTAAAGTTTTGCAATTTCAAGATATTGCAAATATAATTTTACTAGTTCCTATAATATAAAAATTTTCCTACAGACATTTTATTTATTTTGTGCTTGATTTTATATATTATATCCTTACAATTTTATAAAGTGCTTCTCAAAAATTTACTTAATACGACTTTTATAAGCTTGCATTATGAAAATATGTCACATTTTGTTTTCTCTAAATATATATTTGTCTTTTTACATTATTTACATAATTGGTACTGTGTTACGGTACTATAAACCTACAAAATATTTTATAACTACATACGTAATCAATTCCTTCTCTTTCAGTTTAAAAGGGCTTTAAATTTTAATTAGTGGTTGTAAACATTAAAATCGGAAGAAAATATTTGATTGGGTCATTTATTTTTTCTAATACTAATAATATACTGTGTGTTCCTATAAAACCAACGTCTATTTATAATATTGAATAAATACTTCAAGTAGATTACTATAGCAGTTTCAATAAAAGATAATTTCCATGGTATAATAACAAATAAAATATTCTCTTGAGGATTCTTAGACAAATAACAAGAAGAAGAATATAGCTACACGTGTAAAGCGAATTCAGATAAGCCTCAGCTAAAACTTAAATACACAAATCACAAATAGCTAAGCTGGGTACCACGTACATAGTACCGTAAGGCGAAAATCACCCTACTTACCAGAACTGGGAAAATAAATTTGTTTTATAAATAGAAATTTTCAAAACCAATTTATTGATTTCAGTAGATAATGCCTAGTGTGAGACAATAAAATAAATATACTTTGTATATAAACATTTCATTTTTATACGGTAATTGCAAGATTTTTTTCAAAAAGTAAAAAAAAACTACATCATCTTTTTGAGAATCGAAACACAGACGTAAAAAAGAATCAGCCATTTACCTTATAGCATAGTAGAAGGAAAAGAGTAGTTGCACTCTCCCAAATATTTTCTGCCAGTTTTTACAATCTGTCGAATATCGGCAGTTGCAGAACGTTTTAGTTGAGTTACGTCCGTCGACGTCGCCGTCGACCTGCGAGGTTGGAGCATTGCGTCCCAGCACAGAGACCCATTGACAAAAAATGAGTGCCTTACTGTGTGCTGTTATGGTTGTAGTAATAATTCAAAAAATTGTGCTTTGAGTTTTTTTTGAGAGTCATTTGTGATCATTGTTTGTGTCCTGGTTAATTTTCTCATTACTGATTACTACTTAATAATTTGATGATATTATTTATTGATATTATTTTCATTTAAACCTTATTTTTTGATCGATTTTACTTTTGACAACCATCCCTTGCTTGCTGTTTAACGAACTGCACCATCATTGAACAAAAATTTGCTAGTAGCGAAAAAAAAATGGAAATTCCGGTTCCTTAGAGGCATGGTACCGAAATTACCGGTTCCGAAAAACAGCTTCGGTTACGGAAACGCTATAACGTACCATAACCGTGAGTCTTAAATAAGTGCAAATATTTTTAGAGGTAGTATATTTTGGCCCCAGAAATATGAGGATTTTTCTGTGCAATTTTTTTTTTGAAAAAATCTGGAAATTTTTCGAAATCGAAAAATATAACGGAATATCACGAAAAAGAATAAAGGATTTGACAAGGAGTAAAGCTACTACTTTCCTTATACTATGCTTATAGTATTACAACATAAGTGTAAGTCCATAGTGCACCGGCTTTCCGGTAGTTCTTTTGTGAACCTGCCGCATTGAAGCAGGTAGTGGCCATTAACAACCCTTTGTAGGAACCGGGAATGGCATTTGACATCATAAAACTATCCCGAGGGGATCTATTATGCTTTTTTATTAGCTAGTGATAATGGTCATATTAAACTGACGTTCATGAATATACGTCATATCGACAACTCACAGCTCACCCTCAAAAATTTTACAAATATTTCAGCATGGAGAAATAAACGTATATTTTCAACAAAATTGAAAATCATTGAAAAACATTGGCGCCGGGAGGCACCTATAGCCGCCCATACTAAAATATGTTAATATCTCGAAAACTGCGACTTTGACTGATTTTGATGTTATTACAAATTTTGTTGCAAATATTATTCCTGATCTTAATTTCAAAACCGCGTTTCGCTAGCTACTGTAATTTTGGAGATACGATTTTTTAAAATTTTTACCCCCTCCTATACCCCCTTACCAACCCCCCACCCCCACCAAAAACTAATGGCCAGATTCTCGGGTGCCACAGTATTTTTGTGCCAAATTTGGTTAAAATCGGTTCTGCGGTTTTTGAGTTATCGTGTTACAGACGGCAGACAGACAGACAGACAGACACCACGAAAATATTGTATATTTAGGTCATTTATGACCCAAATAACTCATTTTGAGTAAAATTAAAGAAACTTTTTTTTGCCGATCCTAATAGCCTACCATACCTATTGGTATGGTCGGCTAAAAATACTGCAATTTTCAAAATATAATTTTATTTTGTTTCGGCTAAACAAAATAAAATTTTGTCATAAATTATTGTTTCTGTATAGGAAAATATGGGGTATTTTTATTAAAGTGTAAATTATTCAATATGCTTATGCTCATAGCTGACTAAACTTTGATCATTTTTAATTTGTCATTTTGTAAAATTACTGAAAACAGACAGTCTTTTTGCAGAAGTGTACAGAAAATATCGTCATTGTTTCATATGCCTAATTCTGATTAGTTTTTTTTGCAAAGTGACTGAAAATAGATAGGCTTTTTGTAAAAATTCATTCTTTTGTTTAAAAAGCTGGCATTTTATAATATGCCTAGTCTTTTTGCAAAAAACTGGATTATTCTATACTCCTGCGACATACAGACATTAGCGTAACTAGCAATTCATCCTGGGGGGGCCTGGGGTTGAGACCAGGGGGGCCCTAGGTCTTTTGTTCTTTAAAAAATGAAGAACAATATTAACAAACACATTTTTTGAATAAAACGTTTATATGAGTTTTTCTATCAATAAATTTCATTTCACTTGGTTATCAAATCGTGTTCCTGTAGATTACTTAAATACTTAAAATTTTTCTAAAAAAATAAAAATTAACACATTTTTTGAACACAACAAAATAATTTTAACTAAACAAAACTAGAAAACGTCATTTTTACTACATCACAAGCAAATAAAATTAATACGTAGCCAAGAGTCATAATTCAAGATTTCTCTCGGGGGTGCACAGCAGTACCAGGGGGGGCCCGGCACCCCCGGGCACCACTGTAGTTACGCCAATGCATATAGATGGACACAAGATGGTTATGATTAAAATCAATTAATTTTTAATAATTTTGTAAGTAAATAGCTTGACTTGTGCTAATGCGTCACCATTCGTCTTTATTGGAAGTTTAGAAATGAACCGAGCAGAGTAGATTAAGTTTGGTTGTGTGAGGGAGTTAGATTAGACCTGGTTTCAAAAGCTGTGATAAAACTGTTGAGCGGGTGAAGCGACAAAAAGAAACAATAATTCATTCTGATAAAAACGAGTAAAAGCAGTTTAAGCTGGTTGAAGCTGACTGACTAGCTCACTATGACCACGCACTATTGTTCCTATATTTTTGACCATACTATTGTTCCTATATTTTTCACTGCTAGTCTGCCGCGATAAAGCGGGAAGCTGGTGCATTATGGACGTACACTAAAAATGATACTCTTCTACTTTGTCTCACATTTAACAAGCTACAATTTTTTTAGTTTCATTATTTTTTTTTAACATTCATTAAAAAATAAATTCAAGATTTTTAGTCAAGGTAAAGATTGAATAATTATCAAGAATGTTACAGATATTGATATGAACTATATTTTTCAACGAAGCCCTATAAAGGATGTCTCTTTAATAAGTGCAAGTATTTTAACTGGCCGTATATTTCGAGCTGAGAAATACGCCAATAGTGTTTTTTGCAAAAAAACGTTGACAATTTTTTTCTAAATTTTCCGGGAAATTTAAAAAAAAACTTTTTAGTGACGCAGGATCATTCATTTATCATTTTATTTTAAAAATGGTAAATAGAAACTGTTGTCTCTATCCAGACCTGCCATACGACCAAAAAAAAGAGCGTCAAAGACGGCTGGGGAATGACAATCGATGATCATTTTGGCGAACTTCTTTATTTTTTATTGGCACTTGCAGCCAGTTGGTTGCCTTAGGAAGGTTGTTATTTATTTTCATATCGAGTAAAAATTATTTTTAAATGGTGTAGATTAAATTTCGAAATAAAAAATATTTTTTTGGAAATAAGTTTGTGTGTCTGGAAACGTTCTATCCTTTTCTCATCATTCTATATAGTGTTAACTTTTGACAAGATTTACGTAAATTTTTAGCAAGTGACGAGATGACGTCTAGAAATTCTAGTCTCGCCAAAATTATCATTGATTGCCATTCCCCAAGGGTTTCTGACGCCGTTTTTTGCACTTCTATAAGAGACGAACATTTTTTTAATTGTAACAATAGATATATCATACGCGCCCTGAAAATTTTACAAATGGTTTATATTAAGTTTGATAAAAAATGTTGCCTGTTGCCTGTTGAAAATAAAACAAAATAAAATTCCATAATTTATAGCCCTACACAGGCAAGAAATAATTATAAAAATAAATAAATTATTAATATCTTTAAATTCTGTTGTCTCACACTATTATTTAAATAAGAAGTTTTCTTTTATTTTAAATTTGCCAAAACAAAATTCTAATAATTTTACTGCCCAGTTCCGTGCCCAACTCGACTTACAAATACAGGGTGCCCCTGTTCTTCTGCCCATTGACAGAATACTTGGAATATTTCTTGTAAACTATGGCCGCTGGATCAACGATTTTTTTCGGTTTCTCTACCATGGGCATGGATATGTCGGGATGTTCCCTGGTCTCCCATACCAAGTTGGTGAGACTACGCGGTCTGGACAGCTTCCGGGATCGTTTTTCCGGTTGTTTGTTTCCAGTACCGGAATCACCCGAAGCCCGACCTCCGGAATTACTCGAGTCCAGGGTGCCGTCCAGTTCCATGGCCTGAAAACAAAGAAAAAAGTTTTTATTAATTTTTATGAATAAAGATATATAGCTGCTTCATTAAATTCAAAAAGGATGAAGAAAGGTTTATAATATAAAATTATAAATAACTATCCTCAATTGATGGAATAAAAAGCACGTATTCTCACAATCTTCTATTACTATTTTTTATAAAGTATTTTATTTTTTTTATTTTAATTTTTATAAAGGGGGGTGACTACCGTTACGTCTCATCCTCAGACCTTAAGACAGTAAAGTGATTCCATCGACCAAAACCTATAAAAATTGACCAAGTTATTGTTTTGGTATACTAGTGTATACTCTCTTTAAGTATACTTTTTGAAGAGCTAACGCAGGGGTAACGCATGAATTCTTGTCTCAATATTGAAAGGGAGTTATATTAAGCCTTGTTGACACGGTTAAAGTAATCGGATTCTGCCATATAAATTTACCTATACAGGATGTCTCAGGAATAAGCGCAAGTATATTAACAGGTAGTAGATCTTGTCAAAAGAAACATATTTTCTCTTTGCCATTTTTAAAATAAATTCAAAACAACTCAGTTATTCAACTTTGTAAATTTAAAAAAGAATGCAACATTTTGAGAGCCGCCAGCGATAACCGCCTATTAAGCGCTTTTTGGCTTATTCCACGCCCTGTGTTGCCAGATGTTCAAAAGAAATATATGCGAAAATAAAATCGAAAAACTCCACACCATCCAAAGGGTTATGCAGAGATATAAAATGTTACTATTTTTAAATTTGTGTTAATGAAAAAAAATCCTCACGATATAGAAAAAGATACTGATGGTAGATCGCGGTAACAACGGTAACACATCTTTTTTTTAGCCGACCATACCAATAGGTATGGTAGGCTATTAGGATCGGTAAAAATAAAGTTTTTTTAATTTCACTCAAAATGAGTTATTTGGGTCATAAATAACCTAAATACAAAATATTTTCGTGGTGTCTGTCTGTCTCTCTGTCTGTCTGCCGTCTGTAACACGATAACTCAAAAACCGCTGAATCGATTTTAACCAAATTTGGCACAAAAATACTGTGGCACCCGAGAATCTGGCCATTAGTTTTTGGTGGGGTTGGTAAGGGGGTATGGGAGGGGGTTAAAAATTTAAAAAAATCGTAACTCCAAAATTACAGTAGCTAGCGAAACGCGGTTTTCAAATTAAGATTAGGAATAATATTTGCAACAAAATTTGTAATAACATCAAAATCAGTCAAAGTCACAGTTTTCGAGATATTAACATATTTTAGTATGGGCGGCTATACGTGCCTCCCGGCGCCAATTTTTTTTTTTTTTTCGTTTTATTGCAATACTACATTCAACTAAAATACCTATATACTTCATTGCACTGCATGTTATAAGAATTGCTAGAGTAACAGTCTCTATTTCTCTACAAATTATCCTTATGAAGTTCGAAACACATCAAAAAACTACCATACAAAAAAAACTAACATACTACTTTAAATGCTTTACGTCATTTCCAACTAATCTTAAACTGAATGAATAAATCTCGAAAACTATTGAAATCTCTGTTATCGCCATTTTACGAAGTAACTTAATCATAGAAAATACATGTTTCACTATCAATACTTTTAAATATTTTGTTTGTTCTCCACCTTTTAGATATTTTTTAAGTATATGCAGTTGAAAATAACTGTAAAAATGTGGTATGCGGAAAAATAATTAATGTGGTTTGTTTCTAGAATTATTAATAATAATTTAATAATAATTAAGCATTAAGCGGCTTTAAGCATTGGTCAATGAGCATTCCAATGCTTCGTCGCATCCCAGTAAGTTGGAAGCCAGCCTACTTACTTTGATGTTGAAAAGCCTTCCAACAGGACTTTGATAAAACAGTCAATACCAAGAACACGAAATATTTTAGAGCTCCCCTAGATTGACTTATTTCTCCGAGACCTTAAATCCTTATTGCTAATACCTACAGAAATATCGATTTTAAACAATTTGACATAAGTTTATATAAACACTGCCCCTATCCATAACATGTCTTTTTGTATTTTGTGTACTGGTTTTCTTTTGGATTACACGGTATTTTTGCAGTGAGACAAGCTCTGTGGTGCCCAGAGCACGGTCGAATTTATGATAGCAGTAAAGAGCACTCGTACTGCCGCACAAAACATCCTAATTAAAACAAAACCGAACCGCCATAACTTATCCTTTTATTATTATCGCTATTATACAATGGCAACTTCATCGTAAATAACGCGCCTGTCAACGAACTTGAGACTGTCGAAATGAAAAACAAACAGGTGATGTTGATTTTTATCATTTCCTCTGTCATTATTGAAGAGCGCTTTTGTAGTATTTAACATGCCTAAATGTACAATATGTTGTTTTTAAATTTACGTGGTAGCGTATGCATCTGCTTTGTCTGTTCCACAAATTTTAATAAAGCAGTCACCATCATATATATCTTTATGAAAAAAAATCGGTTTCGTACTAACATACATAACATTAAGATTCGATTTTAATGGAAAAGCTAAATATTTGCGGTCACGATATTACATTGTATGAACGATCCTTTTTTTATTTAATCGCAAAACATTTAAATGACTACTCCAAAAATATTAACAGGATGTCTAGTATCTAGTACTATATTTAAGGGAAGTATTCTTCAGCAAATCTTAGGACACCATAGATGAATAGATTATAATTATAATAATAAGTATGTTCAATGTTAAAATTACTTGTATTATTGTGAATTTTTGTTAATATACTTCTCTTCTATACCGGGTACGTCTGAAAAGTGGCTCATCCCTATAACTTTTTTATTTATTTCAGATAAAAAGACGAGAATTGGTATGATAGTATATGACTTAAATTAGGATTAATTGACGGTATTTTATTGTTTTTGGTCATTTCCTGTTTCACCGGAAATTACTCGAACTTTTGAATTTTAAAGGCCACCCTCGGTATATGTCTGCTTTATTCGATAGAAAATGACACTCTGAATAGAATGACATATCATTTGTCAACTTTTGACTTTTTTGAATTTATTTGAAATTATAATATGCGGTTCATAACGACAATTTGACTCGAAATACCAAGTGTGTGGTTCCAAATCATTTCTAAAAAAATGCTTTTTCCAAATATGCTAATAAGTCACCCTTGTTCCATTCGCAAAAAATTGAGATATATGATTAAATATACGATTTGGGTATCTTTCAACCAGCCAGAACAAGACAAGAAAAACGTTAGACGATGAAATATCTTTTTCCAAGTCTCCTTGATTAGAAATTAGTGTTTTTAACATAGCCATGGCACTCTAGATTGACATTAAAAACATGATTTTTTAAGGAAAAATATAAGGAGTCATACTCAGAGTGCCATTTTCTATCGAATAAAGTAGAAATATACTGAGGTGTCATTTAAAAATCAAAAGTTGTAGAAATTTCCGCTGAAACAGGAAGTGATCAAAAACAATTAAATACGTCAACTTTCTCACATTATTACACTATTTTTTTACACCCTGTATAAATAAATTACGCATATATTTGTAACTGGTAAAGTATTTCCAAAGTTACTTGGACTTGTTTGGAATTCTTAAATTGTTTGTCCAGTGTAGAAATTAAGAGACCTAAACCAGTCCAACTGATTTTGAAAATACTATACGATACGACATGATAAGGATAAATAAGGAAAGCGATAAGTGCGAATTATTTTTAATATAATTCGATTCTTTCTGTAACGATCGACAACACTGTAAACAAATCGAACGAATGAATAAAACAGAAACCCTAGAAATGGAGAGATCGCCTGCTTAAGTCTAGTTTTATTAATATTAAAAGGATAATTAAAATCAACTAGCTTCACTCTCCGTTCACTCGTAATGAATTAATCAAAGAAAATCGTCGCCCATGCGTGACGCACTTTTTCCGATCCCCTCTATTAGGAATGTACGATTTTCTGAAAAATATCGATATGATATTTTTTCATAAAAATATTCATCGATATGATATTATTAAAGGTTTCTCAACAGATATCGACTTAATATTCTGAAGAAACAGCTTAAAAATAAGTTATAGGTACATAGGTCACGTGTGAGATCAATATAACAACAAAAATAATATAATACTTTGATCAATGTATTTATCACACTTCTCGCAAAATAAATATATAATTTCCAGTTAACAAACTGTGGAAACTTTTAAACTACCTATATGTAGAAATTAACTTTAAAAGAAATAATAATACAAAATATTATATGAAATATTAAGAGCGTATTTGCTGATAATAGTTATTATTAACTGCGTGCAAACAGGCTCAGAGAACCTTGTTGCTGGACGGAAAAACTCTATGGTTACAGCTGTATTCTTGGAAGATTACCGAAGGATATTATTGCGGGACCATCAGATTATCTGACACCTAGGCTGGAACTTGCCAAGAACTTTCAAGTCAGAATTCCAGAAACGAGTAAGAGAGTAACAACTTAGTGGTGGTATTCGCAAGGTCTTGTCGACTTCCGGACAAATCAAGTGTTTTCCAGGTAGAGGTACTAGCCATTTGGAAGGCTTACAAACGGCTCAGCGATAACACCTTTCGGACAGAAAACTGCAAGATCACTCTCAGCCAAGAAACCACGTCGGAGCTGAATTCATCTACCATTATCCTCCAAAATAGTAAAAAAACATTCGACAAGTTAACCTACGTAGCAAGTAGATAAGATATAACCTTGCCCTCGGGGAGGCTAGGTTAGCTAGGCTTCTAGGGCTACATAGATCAGAAAACGTTTTTACGCCCCTCAATACCATAAGAAAAAAACATTTACCTCCACTTTCTGCCTATGGCAAACAGTAGATAGAAAGTTTTATATGAAGGCCAACTTGACCGTGTACGACACGTGTCACTGTGACAGTTAGTTTTGACGTAAGAAACGTCAAAAGTCGATGTCGTCCATATACTTATAAACCCTATAAAGAGTATCGCCTATCCCTGCAATGTGTTGGAGTTGAAGCCGA